TGTTTATGAAAATTAATAAAATATAATTATAGAAAAAAAAATCTCAACGTCTAAGTTCAAAGATAACTAGAATGCCTGTCTGACAATACACCTGAACTTATCTCCTAATGAGCTGAGACACAGTTGCTTAGTGCAGAGCCTAGAAAATGCATTTTTTAATGTTTCCAGTGAGCATAACCTCTGAATAGAAGTGATTTTAAAATCAAAAGCTGTTGTTAAGCGTCCTAGACTTGAGTGCGACTCATAATGACCCTATGAACAGACCCGAATCCTGTTCCACCCTCATTGTGTCATACTTGAACCCACTGCTGTAGATACTGCATCAACTCCAAAGGTAATGTGTCTAACGCCAAGTTATAACTTCTCACTTAACTACCGCGTTTACATGTAAGTCATTCGCTCTGTGACCACACGACGACCAGTCAAGGAAACCTAAAAGTGTTTGAGGCACAGAAAAGTCGGTTTCGCCCTGTACCATTCTCACAGCAAGCTCACAAGCCAGGAAAGATCTAGGGGAGTTGGAAGGGGAGAGCCAAGGCAGAAGAGGCTAGGATAGGGCAGAGTGGACGCAGACGCAGCTTCTCCATCTCAAACACAGCGAGTGACAAAACGCAGGGCATCTGTTGGCAGGTGAGCCAGGCACATGCAGTGACCAGGCGCCACCGGCTGCGGGGGAAGGGCGTGCGGCTGACGTCCACCTTCACACCTGGGGCCGATCCTCCGGCCCCGAGCCACCCACGCGAGCCCGGGCGGCCCGGAGAGTCGACGGCCGGCCAGGAGAGGGGCGCATGCGCGCGGCAGGTCGCCGGCGGGGCCCGCCCGCCGCCCGCCCCTCCACCTGACTTCACCAGGCCCCACGCAGGCCTTCGGAGCTCCGCAGCCGCGGACGCTGCTCCCCAGGCCACGGTCGCGGGAATCACCTGCGTGTCGACCTTCGCGATCACACACCCCGCAAACGGACACGCGCCGCAGACCTGAAAGCAGTGTTGCTCCCGATGAGGGCCCCGCCGGCGTCCTCCGCGCTGGCTTCAGTTTAAGCGCAGCGCCTTCCTGGTTCCAGCGTCAGGCAGCTGCAGCCGAGCCCCGAGCGCATCGAGGGAGGAGACCAGGCCGTAGGAGCGCCGAGCGAGTAGATTGTCCCGCCTGCAATGTTTTTTTTTTTTTAGGGTGTTTTTTTTTTCTCTTTCCCTGCTTGTTTGATTATTTGGTTTTCTCATTCTCAAAAAGCAATAAAGGTGGGAACTGAAGGCTGTTATTTCCCTTAGTAATCGTCGTTATCATCACAAATAATCAGTAAACAAATCTGTCTTGTGGGAAGTTATGTTTTAGACAACCTCACGTAGCCAAATTGGTTATCTCCTGCTGGGGGAAGGAGGGGGGAACTCGCCCAACAATAATAAATCATGGAAGTGTGTCTGTATAAAGTCGTGTGTGATTAAATTGTAATGATTTATTTGCAAATATGCATTAAAAGTCGGTGTTTCTTCTGCCCAGAAGAAGGCACTCATAGATTGGGAGCAAATTAGTTTCTCACAGAAAAGCAACCGGCTGGTATAGGAATAAGAGTACGCTGCGGAGGTTTCCTCTGAAACAAATCCAATTTAGAGTGTTTATTTTCCTTAATTACACCAATAGAAATTAATATGATTCCGTATCTTCTATAACTTTGCCCTGCATTCCTTATCTTCGCATGAAAATAATTCTTTTCCCTATTTGCTGTATGTAAAGCAAACCTTAAGGGTTTGGCCTTGGTCTGGGTCCCCTGTGAGAACCAACTCATTTCAAGCTGCTATATAATCCAAAGGACAGTTCCCTATTGTCAGAGGTGGTGAAAATCACCTCCACACTACTTCTCTCATAAATGAGAATGCCTTAACTAGCTAGTTTTTTAAGGACCACACTGAAACTCACCTACAATACTACATATGTATTTTTAATAATTCAAAACCTAGGGAAACCCTTGCGTTGCTGAATTAAATAGAACCTGTGTATCTGTCCATAGACTATCAGCTGAGCTTTCCTCTCCATGTTTTTGACCAAAACTGCATTTTGAAATCTTATTTAAATTTCTTATTTAATGAAACAGCATGATTAGAACTCCAGAGGCATTTATTTGGATATGTTTCTAAAACCTTAAGTTGTTTTATTTTATTATTAAGCCTTACTCCAGTGGGTATCTGATCAGACACTACAGATTTCTCAGTGCTTCATTTCATGTCAGCACCACTATTCCCAATTATACAACGATCCAATATGCAACGGGTTTAGGAAAATCTATTTGGTTTGAATTACATAACAGTTGTGTCTGGGCTTTTTCTGATTACCTTTGCAGTGGTCATCATTCCTCAAGTGGAACAGAATGGAATTTGAGCCTAGACTTAAAAGTTACATACTTAAAAGGATAATGAAATATTTGGTGGGGCTCACAAACTCTTACCAGACTTTAGTTATTATTTTGATCTGATATATGTATTTAATACCTCAATTTGAGAGTTCTTGAGCACTGTGCCCACTGAACTAATCTTACTATTGATCACTGCTAAATAATCTCAAAATCAAAATTTCATAAAGAACTAAAGTTTTATAGTCATTCCTCACTTATAATATCAGAATTAAAAGTCACAGGTAGTAATCCATGAGACTCTGTAAAATTAAGTTTCCAAATTCATACAACTTATGAAAGCTTAATTATTTTAAACACTTATGTGACACATTAAAGTTGTCATATAGTGCTTAATATCTGAAAGCAATTGCTACCAGCAACATAAAAATAGCAGTAAGTGAATCTTGAGAAAAATAACTTCAGAATTTAAAGGAAAAGTTAAGCATTTCTAAAAACCATGGGGTCTTATCTCCCCTAAGTTCACCAAATGTGAGCACTTTCTCTAAATAGTAAATACACTCATATATAGCTCTGTTTATATATAAAATAGTAATATACCGAACCATAATGACATCTGTCTTCTTGTTTTACATGTTTAATACAGCGTTAGATGTATCAAACACCTAAAAAAATGGTTGAGGTGTATCTCAACTTTCCTTGAAGACCACTGAGTGGGATCTATACATACCATTGTTTTCTAATTTCTTTTCTGCTATGGCTATTAGTTCCAAGATAATATAGACACTTTATAATGAACACATCACCTTTAACAACAAAAAGTTTGTGTTAATATTTAGACATTTTCTCCAAAGCCAAGAGGTGTATTTGTTGTTACTCTCAAGTAAATCCAACTTTCTTTATGTAAATAATGTGTGAATATAAATACATATACTTCCCTTCTCACAGCAAAGCCTTGTATACATAGAGACAAACTACTCGAGTCTGCATTCCATATTACAAACTCTTTCTATAAAAATTGTTTCAAAATAGAATTTTCAACAGCAGTTTTATAAGAGCTTTGCAATCAGAGAAGGTTCCTTTTGGAAAAGTCCATAACAAAATTAGATATGTCACACACCTAACATCGGTTATCTTTTTAAAACTCAACGGACAATCTCTAGGTTTTCAAAATTAGTAAACCAACTAACTGGACTGTTTCCCAAGGTGATGCTAACGAAGAGCTCCTGTTAATTCCTCCTGGGAAGTCCAGGTGCAGAGGCGCCTAAGTGACAGGGCTTCCAGAGACCTCAGAGGGAGAGCGAAAAGGAACTGTCTTTGACCTAGAGCTAAAGCAACACTTTAAAATGGGATCTGTCAGGGAACAGCTGCTTTGGAAACGTGTTAAATCGACCGGGCCCCTTGGAGCAGCGGCTGAGCATGGAGGAGTCGGCTACCGCTCCCTGAGCGGAGCAGTGCGGGAACTGCCCGGACCCGGCGGAAAGCTCCGAGAAGACCCAGCTCGGCGGTGGCAGCGGGTCCCCAACTCCCTCCCGGGAGCTGCGCCAGCTCCGGTGTTCCAGGGACCCCGACTCGGGCCGGGGCTTGGATCTGCAGCGCTGGGAGGCGGGATCCGGCCGCGGGACGGGCGTGCGGGGCGCTGGGGGCCGCGATGCGGGCCGAGCAGCTGCGCGCTGCTCGGACGGGCGAGGGGCAGGGCTGGACCCGGCGGGGTGACCGGCGCCCGCAGCGCGCACGGGTAAGCTTGGCCCCGCCCCGTGGAGTTGGTCCAGCTCCCCAGTGTTTAACTAAGTCGTGACACCAGCGCAGAATCCACGCCTAATTAAATTAATTAGGGATTCTTGTCAATCCTGGATTAATGGCCACGAGCGCCGGCAGCCGAAGCTCTCCGAAAACCCAGACGAGCAGGACCTGCCTCCTCTCCCCACCCCGCAGTCCCCGTCGCTGTCCTCCCGCTCCCGCCCCGGGTTGTCCAGACTCCAGCCTCAGTCCATCTCTCCATCTACCCCCCTTCTCTCTCTCTCTCCTTTTCCTCTGTCTCTCTCTCCATCTCCTCTCTCCTCTCCCTCTCTCTCTCCATCTCCCTGTCTCCATCTCTTCATCTCCCTCTCTCTCCAATCTCCCCATCTCTCTCTCTCTCTCTTCCCCCCACCCCCTCCGCCCCGCACCCAGGTAGTGGCGCGGCTGCGGCCCGGGAAGGGGGCTCCCACGGAGTTGCGAGGGGAGGTAATTGACTCAGAACAAGGGGCCGCCTTTGCGAAGTATAAATAGTGAGACTTCAAGCGCAGCGTCGCTATCAGATCTGAACTCTCCGCAGGAAGAATTGTCAAAGATCTTAACATCCAACAAGCGCGCACGGGCACGGGAGCCTCCGACCGCTTTTCCCTCCCGCGGCCCCCGCCCCTGCTCCCCTCCTCCTCCTCTTCCTCCTCCTCCTCTTCCTCCTCCTCCTCCTTCTCCTCCTCCTCTTCTCACTTCTTTTTCTCCTTCTCCTCTTTCTTCTTTCTTCTCTTTTTCTTCCTCCTCCTCCTCCTTCCCCTCCCCCCTCCCCCCTGCCCATTGATGTGTTATTATTGGGGGGGCTGGAGCAGTAAGAAAAGAAGAAGAAAAAAAGCGCGGGGCTCTGCGGGAGAGGCTGAGGGGGCTGCGGCCGGCGGCGATGGAAGAGCTCACAGCCTTCGTCTCCAAGTCTTTTGACCAGAAAGTGAAGGAGAAGAAAGAGGCGATTACATACCGGGAGGTGCTGGAGAGCGGGCCGCTGCGCGCGGCCAAGGAGGCGGCGGGCTGCGCGGAGCCGGGGCGCGAGGAGCGCAGCAGCC